TTCCCAAAGTGCCCCCACCCTGATCCTACTGTAATCCACTGAGCAATCACCTCCTTTTGCAATCAGGTTCCTTGCCTTAGGTTGCAATGTCCAGATGCACTGTTCAAAGCCACCACCCAAAATTCCTAGGCCTGGTAATAAGCTTTGAGGGACACTAATCTTTTGTAATCAAATGCTATTGTTAAGGGAACTGGGCAAGATCATTTCATGACTCAGAGGAAATGGTGAGCTTCTTTCTCAGAACGTTCCCCCCACCATCTCATCCTTTCTGCTACAGACCATGCTTTTCTCGTAGGCCATTTAAATCCACATTATTCTCCTTGCACCCATTTCCTATCCTATGAACACAGACAAATTCCCTTACTTGCCAGAAACTTTTATAAGGCTTGGTTATATTTGCAAGGTTTTCTCCAGATTTTAAGTGCTGCAAAATGGAGTCTTTGTTTTTTCTTCAGTCGTTCTGTCCGTTTCATCTCTGAAAAGCTACGTAATGATACTCCTTGATGCGTTCCATTGTGGAAGCGATGTAGCAGTCAAAATAGAACATTCCTCCCTAACGCCCATCTCAACTGGACTTTTAACCCAGGAAACCAGTGGTTTATTGAGAACCAGTCCAAGTTACAGTTTATAGCTCAGTGATAGAGTACATGATTTGTGTTCAGGTAGCCCTGGGTTCTTCGGTTCCTGGCATTTCCACCCAGGAAATGGTACTGGGAAGGACCTCACTGTCCCTAAGATCTTGGAGTGTGGTGCCTTCCAGATTTTGTGCAACTACAACTCTCATCATCCCTGACCATTGGCCTTGTTGGCTGGGGCTGAGGAGGCAAAACCTGGAGAACACCCCATTGACTACCTCTGGAGTCTGCAATAATAGGGTAAGTGGACAAATGGTCTGATTCAGTAAAAGTTGGTCACTGTATATATGCAGTGAAATGCCCATCATAAGCTCAGTTTTGAGATAAACCACAAGAAGGGAGAATGGGGGCCTCAAAGCTGCCCATCCACAGTGAGCAGGCACCTGGTCAGTCTTCCCCGCTATGATGAGATGCATTATGTTTCTCTCTAAATTACAGTCATCATTTGTGAACCATAGATAGATCTAAATCATTAGATATGCATTAGCATCAATAGATACAAATTAGCACATGCAAATTTCATGCCATTTGCGTCCTTGTTTTTTGATGGATTTCCTCTGGGAGTGGCTGGGAGGTGTTCATAACTCGTCAGCCTAGCAATATTCTTTAGCAGGCTGGGGGCTGGTGTACAAATAGGACTATGCGTCCTAGAATTGTAGAGTTGGAAGGGACGACGAGGGTCATCCAGTTCAACCCCCTGCAACAGAGGAATCTTTTGTCCAATGTGGGGCTCAAACCCACAACCCTGAGATTTAGGATGCTGTACTGACTGAGCCATTCACTTTCTGGCCAAACAACCCAAATTCAGATAACAGTTAAAAATTAAGTTCTATTAAACATTCTTAAGGTACGGTTCACTCCACTAACCCACGATTCTTCTGAAGCCAGTACAGGGCAGGTTCTTGCAGAATAGAGAGAGTCTTCAGCAACATGTAATAGAGAGGCGCCCTCAAGCTGTGAACACAGGTGTATAAGAGCTTCTCCATTTTCATCTCTGAAATGTGCAAATATAAGCCTCCGTTCCTGTGACGCTTGGAGCAGGATACTCAAGAGGAGAATGTAGCTTGCTTGCGCAAGGGTGCTTAAAAGAAAAAACACTGCAAAAACAAAGCAATTAGCAGATCCTCTATGTTTATGCCTTCTGCTTCATGCTCAGGGCATCCATCTCATTATCATCAGAGACCGCAAAGCAATTAGCCTCCATGTGGCTCCTTTATAATGCACTGACCCTGCCTGACGGCTGCCTGGAGTGGGAGACCTTAGCTACATACAGCAGAGACACATGCAGCAGTATGAAGTGACAAAATCCAGACCCACTGGCAGTTCTTTTCAAACTAGCTTAAAATAGACCTTTGGTTAATATATAAGAACCTCTTCTCTGCGTATTCTTTATGTATTGAATATGCAAAGAACCGTGAATCACAAATGAGGCACAGAAAGAATGAGTTGGCTAGCAGAGATTTGGTAGCTGCTTTGGGAGGGAATTGATAGCTTTCTAGTTGTTTTATTGAGGGTAATATATATGCTGTAAGTCACTTCCAATGGCCATTACCTGGAAAGGTGACCAATAAATATCTAAAATAAATAAACACGGTTATCTTTTTATTAACCCCCTTTCTGTTAAAATTGCTCACAGCATATTTAGCATCTCTGCAGAGAGAGCTAAATACCTCCTGGATTAGATCTTAGATTTGGGTGGGCTAACCTCGTAGAGGTCAAAGCTTTCACTGTGTACACACCATACATTTAAAGCACATTCCTCCCCAAGAATCCTGGGAATGGCAGCTTACTCCTTCCAGAACTTCAGTTCCCAGAACTCTTAACAAACTACCCTTCCCAAGATTCTTTGGGGGATGCCTTAAATGATTGGTGTGTACTATTGTACTCCCTCATTTAATAAATCTACCTTCTAGCTGGCACACAGAAGCACAGAAAACAAAGCTTGACTTGATTCTAGTTACCAGGCGTGTACCTAGGGGTTGGGCCCCTGCCAAGAACTACAGGCCCAGAGGGGTACAAAAACCGCACCTCTGGCTTGGAGTGGCTAGGAACCCACCCAATCCCACAGGCTGCTCCTCCACCACTCTGGGCATACACATGACATCACGTGTGTGACACAGATGTGTGACATCCCACACGTCAGGATGAGCCTGTGAGGCCCAACAAGGCCCTCTGCTGCTGCGGGGAGACCTGGCAGGGCCCAGCCCCTCAAGATTGGGGGGGCTCAGCCCTATCCCCGCATACTGGGGGCGGCTGAGCTGTCCTTAGCCCCATAGAGTTGGTGCCTATGATAGCCCAATAGTAGAACACAGTCCTCAGCATCTCCAGATAGGGGCTGGGAGAGACTTCCTGTCTAAACCCTGGAGAGCCACTACCAATTAGTAGTGCCCCTCCAGATGTTATTGGAGTCTAACTCCCATCAGCTCCAGCCAGGATGCCCATTGATTAAGGAGCATAGGAGTGGCACTCCAGCCATATCTGGAGGGTCACAGCTTCCCTGTTCCTGGTGTAAACAGTACTGAGCCGGATGGAGCCGTGGTCTGGCTTGGTGTAAGGCCCCTTCTTGTCTTCCAATCCATGGGTTCTCCTGCAGTTCCATGTTTCTACCCTAATTTAACAACAAGAAACGCTTAGACAAATTTATGAAAGATAAGGCTCTCAATACCTACCCCCCTCTTGTTTACCATCTCCAGCATCTGGCACAGCATGCCTCTGAAAACCAGTGGCTGGGGAACATGAGCAGGATATTCTTATGTCTTGCTCATGGGCATGTGGTTTGGCCACTTTGGGAACAGGAAACTGCACTAGATGGCTCTTTGCTCTGACCCAGCAGGGCTCTACTTACGTTTACAAGGATCTAAGCAGCAACATCTACAATTATCTTTTCTGTGAATGCCCCTGAAGCAATCAGAATTCATCCAGCATGTTTTAACGGTTGCCCTGTGGGAGGGCTGAAAGAGAGCCATCCTTTCATGCCTTTGTCCTTCTGACATCCAGTACCTGCTCTAGCAAAGATATCAACACTTTTGTAAATTGTGTTCCGTGGAAAGGGAGGGATGAGTCAAAAGCAGTGGAACGTATGTCATTACGGCTGGACTGCTTCAGAAGTGAGGTGTTTATGTTGGCTGTAATCTGATTAGAATGTAGTAAGAGCAATCACACATTCCCAGAGAGGATGAAAATCAAGTTATGTTGCATCTGCAGGATGTGGGAAAGAGCTGGAAATATTAAAGGCGGCACACGGCTGTTGAAGCCTAAAGGAAAATGGGATTATTTTGTAAAGCCCTAAGATTAGCCGTGTGATTATAGCAGGTAGTATATTGGGAATTGTCAAGAGAAACTCTACTTAAAACATGAGCCAAAGCATTTTTGTGCAAACGGCACAGCATGCAATGAAATGGAAATATAAGGTTACAGGTAGGTAGCCGTGTTGGTCTGCTGTAGTTGAAACAAAATTTTAAAAAATTCCTTCCAATAGCATCTTAGAGACCAACTAAGTTTGTTATTGGTATGAGCTTTCGTGTGCATTGGTATCTGAAAAAGTGTGCATGCACATGAAAGCTCATATCAATAACAAACTTAGTTGGTCTCTAAGGTGCTACCGGAAGGAATTTTTATTTATTTGGAAATATAAGGGTTCAAGGGCCTATAGAAAATAGAATCACAGATTTGTAGGGTTGGAAGAGACCCCGGGGTCACCTAGTCCAATAGCCTGAGGAGAATTCAGCATTCTCAGTTGCCACAGAATGCCGTGTGACTGTTTGGGAAGGGTAAGGAAATGGGGGAGAGGGAATTGGATGGAAGAGGGCCTGGCTGACTCTAAACGGGAGCACTTCACATTGCAGAGTCTCATCTGCCGTCACCATCATGTGTGTATATACTAATAGATCATTGTATATACTAATAATGGACTCAAAACAGCACCTAAAGAATTATCCCCTCCCCAAAAAAGGTCTCCCCTCCCTCACAACAGTCCAATGAGGACTGAACATGCTCAAAAATAAAGAAGCAGGGATGAAAAGGAATATTCTGGAAAATGGTATGCCCGGCTGGCTGGCAGCCTGAACAGAACCACTCCATATTGCAACATCTCATTGCAGATTCTGTCTGTGTGTATGTTTGTGTGTGTGCATGCACACATGTGTATGAAAGAGGGAGAGATGGAAAAATAATTGGGTGCTTTTAGGGTCTTCTCTAGGAGAACCTTTCTCCTACAGAGGCGGTGGACTTTTTGCTCAAGAGGCTTCGCTCTTCCAGTTCGTAAGACTGAGCTTTGGTGGGCTAGAGAGTGCAAATCTTATGAGCTAAGAACAACTAATCCCCCCACCAACTAACTGCCATGGATCCTCCTCCAAGTCCAGCATGTCAGAGCATTACGCTGACCGCTACACAGTTATTGGTGGGCATGATCTTCTGCTTGAAGGTGAACACCTCTTTCAATCCGCTTCGGAAGCGATCATGCAGCCAGGCATAGAGGAAGGGGTTGCAGCAGGAAGAGCTCATGGCAAACCAGTGGCAGAGCAGCTGGATCAGAAGGAAGTAGTCCTTGTTGATGAGGTTGATGTCAATGTCACGGAGGACGTTGAAGACGTGGATGGGGAGCCAGCAGATGGCAAAGGCGGCCACCACCAGCACAAGCAGGCGGAAGATCTTCCTCTTCCGCAGGCGGTCAAACTCCGCCTGGTTCTGTGTTGGGTGGCCAGGCACAACGCGGTTCTTCAGCTTAATGGTGATGCAGATGTATGAGAGGGAGACAGCTGAGAGGGGGAGGATGTAGGTGATGATCAAGGTGCTGTAGGCATAGACCAGGCGCTCTTTCCCCTCTTCCATCCAGAACTCCTCGCAGATAGCAAAGCCTTCCTTCTGGAACTCCACATGGTAGGTGTGGGCAATAGCGGGGGCCACCAAGGCACCCGAGAGCAGCCAGATCCCACCGATGATGTACACGCAGGTAGTAAAGGAAATGCGCTTCTTAAGGAGGTGCACAGTCGTGTAGTACCTAGGGAAGAGACGAGAGGAAAGACAGTGACATCCCTCCTGCTGCTTTCTCTTACGAAAGCCCTCCGGATATCATTGGACTCCCATCAACCACAGCCAAAGGACAGGGAGGATGGGAGTTGGAGTATAGCGATTTGGCGCTTCTGCGCATGTGCAACCGCCGAAACCCGGAAGTAACCCATTCCAGTACTTCCGGGTTTCAGCGGTCTGTAACCCGAGGTATGATTGTATATGAATGAAACTGCCTTATCCTGAGTCAGTTCATTGGTCCATCTAGTTCTGTACTGTCTACTGGCAGCAAGTATCCAGGGTTTGGGGCATGGGTCTTTCCCACTCCTACCTGGACCCCCTGGGGACTGAACCAGGAATCTTCTACCTGCAAAACAGATGCTCTGCCACTGAGCTACGCCCCCCCCCAGCTCCAATGGGAGAGAGGATAGCTCCTTATGGTTAAAGATACTTAAGATCAGTGGCCAACACCTCAACCTCAAACCAGAGGGAGCCTGCCTACAGGAGAGCAGCCTGGCTTCCCTTGCAGAGTCTCCTGTTTTAATTCTTTTACAGTGGTACCTCGGGTTAAGAACTTAATTCATTCCGGAGGTCCGTTCTTAACCTGAAACTGTTCTTAACCTGAGGCACCACTTCAGCTAATGGGGCCTCACGCTGCTGCCGCACGATTTCTGTTCTCATCCTGAAGCAAAGTTCTTAACCCCAGGTACTATTTCTGGGTTAGCGGAGTCTGTAACCTGAAGCGGCTGTAACCTGAGGTACCACTGTAATGGGATTGTTTTAATTTTGTTATATATATATATATATATATATATATATATATATATATGCATGTTTTTAAATCTCAATGGGATTAATGCTTACAATTTAACATTTATGTAACTGGTTTTTATATTTTGTAAACTGCTTAGAAGCCTGTTTTGGCATATATTACTGATTTATTGGGTCTGTTTTATAGATTATTGTATGGCTTTTATTGTAGCGTTCTTTTTTTCCTGGTTTCAAGGTATGCTTTCTGCTCTTAAAATTTTGTAAGTTTCTTGGAGACTCCTTATATGTCAAGCCACCAATAAACTGAATAAATAATGCTGATAATAATTAAGTGGCATATAAAATAAACTAATAATAATAATAATAATAATAATAATGTATTTCTGTAAAAAGGTAGGGCAGCATGGTCTCCCTTCCTGACAAAGAATTCTCAAAAGCTTGCTATCCTACCATAATCTATGCTGCCGACACAATTCATAAGACCAGTAGCCACAATGAATGATCCCCAAGGTCCCTTCCAACTCTATAATTCTATGTCTTATGTCTTGAGCAACTTAGAGGAAGGGTCAGAGACAAATGCAACAGCAATCTCGGGTACATTCCCTGGTTCATGCAGCATGCTCACTGTGAGCAGCAAAACCCCTTACATGTCTACTTGGGAAACCATCCTACTGAGTTCAGTGGGTCCTATTTTCAGGGATGCAGGTGCAGAACTATAGCTGCTGGCTGCCTTCTCCAAATAGCACTTGCACCATCTTGGACGTCTTTGACAGCTCTTGCTATACTCAGATCCTGGTTGAGTTCCCCACCCCCACCCATCCCTGGCACGGGCCATAAATGGTTTCTGTTTTAGAGCAATGCTGGCAATATTGCAGTTCAGCAAGAACCACCAGAAACACTGAGAGTACTAGCAAATGGCTAATGATCAGCCCCAGAAAATTCCAGGGCTGCACACAAAAGCAGCACAAGGCCCATGTATTTAGTCAAACATACTGTTCCCCTTGCTTTGATTTCAATAATATTCCATTTCTATGCAAGTTAATTAAACAAGAAAAGACTGTCACAAGGCAAAGCTGGTGATGGAAATTACAGCCTTCCACCCCAGAAAAGCGCCACTCCTCGGGAACAGCAATTTATTCCATCAGAAGCCACGTTGCTGAATTAAGTCACGTGGGAAAGTAGGTATTGTGGGGCAATGAAGTAACACAGACTTTTATTTCCATTCAGCGGGAAGACTGGTGTTGCACAGAAGGGTTCCTACCAGCCTCTCCAGAAACTCACCAACCAGCCAGAACACTCCTTTAGATCTGACTTTTCCAAACGTGTTTCCCCCCGCCCTCTCTGAAGTGTGCTAAAGCTTGGGCTTTGAGAGATAGTCAAAATGTTCCTTGAAGCCCTTTGGAACTTCAAGGAGCTCAGTGAGAGGGAAGAAGAAAAGCGTCCCTGTATCTGCCTTGTCAGGTGGAGCCCAGGCTTCTTGACCTCAGGGAACCTTTTCACACATGCACCCATCTGCCTAAGAACACATGTGTTGCAGAGCATTCCTTGGTGCAATTGAGGGCGCAATCTCCATGCGCTCCAGGCCTATTGGGCTTAGCTGTCCCCTGGCGCAGACTTTGCATGCACCATGCTGAGACTGGGGCTGCAGCTCAATGCTGGAGGGCCGGCTTAGCCCTCTAAGGCCCAGAGCAAGCAAGCTTCCCCAAACACACACACCTGCATGTATGTGTTCCGTAGTGGCACCCTGGCTATAGAATAGCTTCTCCAAAGATGCTTGCCTATGGTGCCTGGTCTTTTCAGTGCCAGGCGAAGACACTTTTATTCACACAGGCTCTTTAATCGTGTTTTAAAATAATCTCGGGCTGTTGTAACCTACAATTCTCAGAGTGTTTGAACTGTCAATCCCTTTTCTTGGGGAACCATGGGAATTGTAGTTCTTTGTGGGGAACAGGGATCTCCCAAGCAGCTTTAGCAAACTACAGTCCCCCAAGCAGCTTTAGCAAACTACAGTCCCCAGAATTCTTAGGGGGAGCCATGGCTCTTAAAGGGGCATCACCTAGACAGCATCTTAAAAAGCAGAGACATCACCAACAAAGGTCCGTATAGTAAAAGCTATGTTTTTCCCAGTAGTGATGTATGGAAGTGAGAGCTGAACCATAAAGAAGGCTGATCGCTGAAGAAGTGATGCTTTTGAATTCTGGTGCTGGAGGAGACTCTTGAGAGTCCCATGGACTGCAAGAAGATCAAACCGATCCATTCTGAAGGAAATCAGCCCTGAGTGCTCACTGGAAGGACAGATCGTGAAGCTGAGGCTCCAATACTTTGGCCACCTTATGAGAAGAGAAGACTCCCTGGAAAAGACCCTGATGTTGGGAAAGAGGACCAACAGAGGACAGAGAGATGGAGGGCACAAGGAGAAGGGGACGACAGAGGATGAGATGGTTGGACAGTGTTCTCGAAGTTACCAGCATGAGTTTGACCAAACTGCAGGAGGCAGTGGAAGACAGGAGTGCCTGGCGTGCTCTGGTCCATGGGGTCACGAAGAGTCGGACACGACTAAACGACTAGACAACAACAACAACAACAATGCTTTAAGTGTACTGTTTGGACGAGGCAACAAAGAGTCACTGCCAGCCAGTGTAGACAGCACTGAGCCGGGTGGACCAGTGGTCCATAAAAGGCAGCTTCCTATATTACCATTGCCTACTAGATTTATGTTGCCATGGAAACATCCTATCAGAAAGATATCCATGCCCCACCCCCGTTAGCTTTTACATCACTGTCCTGCTTTTCAAAGAGAAAAGCTACATTCAGCCACCTGAACAATTTGTTTCTCTGCAGCAAATAAACTATCATAACATTAACCAGAGGTTGGAAATTATACCCAGCAGTGCAAAAATACCCCAAAGCCCTAGCAGGCAAAGACTTCCTTCTTTGATTGCTGAGAAAACTCAGCGGCAGCTCAAATAGGCACCATTCTCTGGTCTTACCCTGTTGGCTCAACTAGACCCACCTGGGGAGAAGAGTGGGGACGAAATTAGCTTGTTCGCCTACTTGGCTCGTCACAAGTTAGAAACATGATGAGAGCTTGATGGTCCTGCAGTGGGAAAGGGCAACTGTGAGGTGCTGAGGGAAGATGGTTCACAAAGTGGGAATGGCAAGCAGCCAGCGATGTCTTTGTGGTTTGGTCCCAAATTGGAAAGACAGCAGGAGAAAGTACCTACTTAATGTCTGCTGCCCTGTAACGTCCCTTGGGTTGGTCAAGTTAAAACAGTAGGGCATCTGCGGAGCACAAAACCCAGGAAAGAGATGGGCTCGTTTGCAATCATCTTGATATAAGGGCCAGTTTCTGTGAGGAGCTGCATCTCAGGGGTTACAGCGCAGGCTTCACAAGGTTGCAGAAGGTCCCAGGCAGGGCCAGCCCACCTATGAGGTGGATTGAGACAGCTGCTTCAGGCAATGGAACCCTGTGTGGCTGCTCTTGGCAGCGCCGCAGGAGAGGTGAGGAGAAGCAGCAGCAGTGGTGGCTTCCAGCGAGATCTCGCAAGATCTCACTGAGCTCATGTGAGATTTCGTGAGAATTACACAGGGAGATCTCACCGCAAGTCACTGCCATGCGACCCTGGTAAGTGAGGCTTTGGCAGGCGGGCAGCAGGGGGACAGCACCTTCCTGTTTCGCCTCAGGTGGCAGAATGGGATGGTATGGCCCTGGTCCCACATTTGCAAGCAGGGCTAGGAAAAGCTCCCAGCTGAAACCTTGGGGAGCCTCTGCCACTTCGTGTAGAGCTCATTTCCCCAACTTGTTGAGAAAAGGCTCAGCTGGATTTCCTCCCGAAGGTAATTACATCTCTTTAATGAAAAGATGAGTTTAAGATGCAACCCACTGGGCTGCAACAAAAGTGCAGAACGTTGATGGAAAACATTTGTGATTGATGACGAACAGCCTTCTGTCAAAGCAGTGGCTGAATGCAAGTCCTTCTGAAAAGTACTATTGCATGGGTAGGCAAACTAAGGCCTTGGGACTGGATCCAGCCCAATTGCCTTCTAAATCCGGTCTGTGGACGGTCCGGGAATCAGCGTGTTTTTACATGAGTAGAATGTGTGCTTTTACAGTGGTACCTCAGGTTACATACGCTTCAGGTTACAGACTCCGCTAACCCAGAAATAGTGCTTCAGGTTAAGAACTTTGCTTCAGGATGAGAACAGAAATTGTGCTCTGGCGGCGCGGCGGCAGCAGGAGGCCCCATTAGCTAAAGTGGTGCTTCAGCTTAAGAACAGTTTCAGGGTAAGTACAGACCTCAGGAACGAATTAAGTACTTAACCTGAGGTACCACTGTATTTAAAATGCATCTCTGGGTTATTTGTGGGGCATAGGAATACGTTCATTTATTTATTTTTTAAAATATAGTCCAGCCCCCCACAAGGTCTGAGGGACAGTGGACCAGCCCCCTGCTGAAAAAGTTTGCTGACCCCTGACCTGGAGCAATCTGGAGCTATCAATAGACGTGGTGGTCTGGCAGCAAGGATGGGAATGGGGATAGGGGATCCAAATCTGGATGAATCATTCAGGAGGCAGTTACCTGTCTACTGCGATAGCCGTGAGGGTGAAGACGGACACATATACCGTCATGGGCTGCATCAGGAACACAAAATAGCACAAGAACTTCCCAAAGACCCATCCCTGGGGGTTGAAAGCATATGCTAGAGTGAAAGGGACACAGGTTGCACACATCAGCATGTCAGAAAAGGCCAGGTTTCCAATGAAGAAGTTGGTGACATTGTGCATCTTCTTAGTCTTACAGATAACATGGAGGAGGAGATAGTTCCCAAAAATGCCCACCAGCACAACCAAAGTGTAGCAGGGGATGATCAGAGGCTTGAAAGACTGGATCATCTGCACGCCGGTAAACTGAGAAGTGGAATTGGAGCCATTTCTGAGCTCAACCTCATAGGTGCTGCCGTTGGACGGGCCATGGTCCCAGCGACCAGCGGATTCCATCAGTTGATAGCAACCAGGGACTGCACTTAAAAACACAAGGAGGATGGAACTGCAGTGAAGCAAGTCTTCTGAAGCTGGCTTTGGGGCCACCCTGTGTGCACAGGGCCCTGGACGACTGACTCCTTTATTTTGTTCAGGGATGAAAGGCTGATGTATCTATTGCACAAAAGGAATACTGGGTTTAGCTTGCCTGGTGCCAGAAGACATCTTCTATTTCTCATGCAAATCTGTATTCACAGGCTACCGTTTGAAGAGCTTACTTCTGCAGCAATCACAGCTTGCAGGGCAGGATGAAATGCTTTCAAGTTTGACTCACTTAGACCCATTAAGCTATAATATATCCTCCCCCACTTTGATGCCTTTCCATTTTCTTCTGGGTTGCCTCCGTTGCTTCTTCATTATTTGGCTCTTGTGTTCCAAAATTGCAGCATTGCTACTACTTTTCAGGGGAATGACTGGTTCCACTGGTGTCTGAGAGATAAGATAGGGAAGGAAGCGGGGAAAAGGAGGTTTAGAATGACAAGGAATCGGGTAAACAGCTTTCCCCTAAAGACAAGCAAACTGGAAAATATGCTAAAAAGCATGACAAGCCCAGAGAGATGTTAGATGGAGAGCTTCAGAATTTTGCCACAAAGCAATTGCAGTTTGGTAGGAAACATCCCACTGTGATGTAGGGGTGTGTAAATCTGTCCATTTCAGTTTACCATTTTTCAAACCATAAGTTCAGTTCTCTACATTTCGACATCAGTTTGTGATTTTAAAAGAAAGTCTGGTGAAAATTCAACAGCATTGTACTGCAAATTTATCCCACTATGCACATTTTTGCAAAGCAATTTCCCCCTAGTAGAATGCATTTTGCGTGTTATTTTCATGGATATACTGTATGCATTTATATGCGCACGTTACCCTAGTATATGCACACATTACTTGCTTGGAGAAATGCACCGCAGCTATTGTTTGGAAAGCGCTAATCAGGTATGCTCTCCTTTAAATGCAAATGGAATTAAATTACTCTCCCATCCCTAAAGTGGAGGCAGCTCTCTGAGAGCTCTCAAGGCAAAACAGCAGCGAAAATAACCATTAACTTTTATTATGGTGTAACTTTTTTTATTTTGTCAAGTAGCGCTAGGTGAACGTTCCGTCAACCCAAAGATTTCTGCTTGTATAGTGGAACTTTCCCAGCACCCCACTAAATCTGTTCTAAGGGTTCCCCCAACCACTTGGAGCAGAGTTGGGGAGGATATAAGGTGTATGTGAGGGGAGGAGAGAGGTGAAGCCCACCGCGCAAGCAGAAATCCTTGCGCAAATGGCACAGGTTAGTTGAACATTACCCAAAGGCTCAGCTATGAAGCACACAGGGTCCCTTTTCTATGAGTTGCTATCTTTCAGATCTGTTTCCCAGCGTTAAGGATAAAATTTGATAGGTAGATAAAGGGACTAGATGCGAGGCAATAAAGTGAAGCTGAAACTAAGACAGAGATACTGCTGGTGGGCATATGAACATAAAAAGCTGCCTACACAAAAGTGAGACCCATCTAGTTCAGTACTATCTGCACGAATTGCCAGGGCCAGCCCTATAATGAGGCAAAATGAGGCAGCTACCTCGGACAGCAGGTGCTGAGGGACAGGGAGGAGACAGCCATGAGTGCCATGTGGCCTCCCCTGTACCTACTATGCTAGCCTGCTGCCCTCCAGCACAATGAAAGGTATTTTCCTTTCACCAGTACTGGGGTAAAATACAACTGTCAATCTGTATGTGCCTTTGGGAAGGGCGCCACTGTGGCCTTTGCCTCAGGCAGCAAAACATTTTGAGCCAGCCCTGTCCATTGCCCACAAGTCTTCAGGGTTTCAGACAAGAGATGCCAGAGCCTGGCATGCTACTGATGTGTTCTGCTACTGAGCCATGGCCCTTCCCCAGTTTGTCTGCCCCTGAGTAGTGATCACAGTTTGGCAGTGCTCATAGATTCAGCTTGTTCACAAGAGAGCCCAGCAACAGGGAGCCCCTTTCATGAGAGCTATCCATGCTCTGGCATCCTCCAAATTAGACTACTACAATGAGTCCTATGTGAGACTGCCTTTGAAGACTGCTTGGTAGCTGCCAATTAGGACCACCTACATTGGGTGTTCGAAAGCATGCCGGCTCCCTTGGCCCATAAACCCCATCCATCTGGGACATGGGTGGTGCTGTGGGTTAAACCACAGAGCCTAGGACTTGTCGATCAGAAGGTTGGCGGTTCGAATCCCCGTGACGGGGTGAGCTCCTGTTGCTCGGTCCCTGCTTCTGCCAACCTAGCAGTTCAAAAGCACGTCAAAGTGCAAGTAGATAAATAGGTACTGTTCCGGCAGGAAGGTAAATGGCATTTCCGTCTGTTGCTCTGGTTCGCCAGAAGTGGCTTAGTCATCCTGGCCACAAGACCCGGAAGGTGTATGCTGGCTCGCTCAGCCAATAAAGCGAGATGAGCGCCGCAACCCCAGAGTCGTCCACGACTGGACCTAATGGTCAGGGGTCCCTTTATCTTTTACACTGGGTGTATCTGTCCAACATTTAAACGGTTAAACAAACTCCTATCTATTGAATGGGAGGCACAGTGGTCCCTGCATTGCATAGCAATGAATGCATGTAAAATACACAAATACTTTGGGGAAAGGAGCACAGATCAATGAATCAGACAGAAAGTAAGGGGTAGTAAACAGAGTGCTTTCCCTCTTACCACGCTGCACTTTACTACTCCACCTGTGAATAAAATAAAACAGATAGAGAAAAGCCTTTCTGCATCTCTCATAACTCTAGGACTCACAGACATTTAATGAAGCTGAATGTTGGAAGATCCAGGACAGACCAAAGAAAGCAATTCTTCATATAGTGCACAGTTAGACTATGGAGTTCGCTGGGAAGAGGAATCAACTGTTAAACCACTCCAAAAATTGTAGCAGGGGCACTGACTTGCCCCCACATTGAAGGGGCCCAGCGTTGCGTGACATCATATGCACAACATCATGCACCAGGTTGGGGGGATGCCATGGGGGCTGTTGCCCCAGGCATGCAATCTGGAGGAAGCGTGAACCAGGAGATCCCAACAGGTTCATTCATTTCAGTGAGTCTGCTTTGAGTAGAACTTAGTTGGATATAACTCTTAGTGTCCAGCAGGAAGGCATCTGCCTTTTATGGGCACATTTACAAAACCTTTAGCTGTTTTATCACTACAGTACTTTAACTAGAGCTGTATGGCATGTTAAGGGAAGGGTGGGGAATGTCGTGTTCCTCCTGGGGTAGTAGTTTGACCACCTGTGACCCGCACCCTGCACTCAGCTCTCACCTGTGGCTCCTAGAAGCTGCCAGCATGTGACAATGGCCAAGCTCCAGGAACAGATTCAACTGGCCGGCTAAACCAGGTGAGGGTAGCCAATGGGTCTCAAACCCTCAGCGAGTGAAGGACTTCTCCTGTACAGTGGTACCTCAGGTTACATACACTTCAGGTTACATACGCTTCAGGTTACAGACTCCGCTAACCCAGAAATAGTGCTTTAGGTTAAGAACTTTGCTTCAGGATGAGGACAGAAATTGTGCAGCGGCGGTGCAGCAGCAGCGGGAGGCCCCATTAACTAAAGTGGTGCTTCAGGTTAAGAACAGTTTCAGGTTAAGTACGGACCGCCGGAACGAATTAAGTACTTAACCTGAGGTACCACTGTAGTTGAAGAAAGGCTTTGGCGGACTGAGCAAACGTGACTGAGATTAAGTCCAACGGTCAAGAAGGCGGTTACTACACATGCTTTAGAGCCGGGGTCAGCAACCTTTTTCAGCCATGGGCCAGTCCACCGTCCCTCAGACCTTGTGGGGGGCCAGACTATATTTTGGGGGAGATATGAATGAATTCCTATGCCCCACAAATAACCCAGAGATGCATTTTAAATAAAAGGACACATTCTACTTATGTGAAAACACACCGATTCCCAGACCGTCTGCGGGCCAGATTGAGAAGGCGATTGGGCCGCATCCGGCCCCTGGGTCTTAGGTTGCCTACCCCTGCTGTAGAGGGAAGTGAAGGGCAGATGGGGCCCATCAGCCTGGGAAAGTAGCTCATCTAGGAGAAGGAAAATTCTGATCCTAAACCTCTACCGCCTTGTGGCTATCCTCATTCATGGGAATAGCTCCACCACTGCTGCCTTGCAGCACATCTTTGGGTGAAGAAAATGCTAAGCAGAAAACCCCACACAAATTCAGAGTCCCTAAAGACGATTGGATGGCATATTGTATGCCTCCTTCCAGCAGCTCCTGCAGCCAAGCTGGTGCCAAACCGATTGCTTTCCTTTCCTTTGGACCACATCAGCAAGGCTGAGAGGAGGGGTCTTCTAGTCTGGGCAACCCATGACCTCCATACACACTCCCCAGGCTTGTACCCCAGAGAGGTACAGCAAAAACAACATGGGGGCAGCAGTTTCGGGTTCCCTGCCTCTGCAGCCACAGCAGGCGCTGTGATTCTCCAGAGGTTTGACTTCACCCCTGGTGGCACACTCCATTGTCTCTTGAGACAGATGGATGCCAGCAACAACTTTAACCGAAACAGTAACTAGGTGGGCATGCTTTACATTATTCAATATGCATACAGTTATAGAGAGCAGCCACATATGATATTGTAGCATATCCTTAATTTTGGCTTCATTTTATAAAATGGAAAACAGAATTTTGCTCTGGGCACAGAATCCTACGGAAGGCAGCTCAAAAAAATACATCTTCCTTCCACCTCATGCTGAGTTGGTACTGATTGTTGTTGCTTTCTCCCCTAATAAATGTCATGAAAATCTTTTCAGAACGGAAGCACTATGAGCTACAGGAGGTTCTTCAGAAAACATTTCCGAAAGAACATTAAATATTTTCCCAGCTTGATCCTGAACAAGGTTATCAGAAGCAAGCTTTGTTGAGTTTAGTGTGCTTACAGTGCCGTCTCAGACTTCTTTACTCAGAAGTAAGTCCTTTCGGTTTCAATGGGACAACGCTTGTC